ATTATGAGTCTGTTTTCTTTTCAGGCTATTTCGCTTCTGTGTACCGTAATCGATTTAACCCTTTTGATTAATCGATTAATTTTATCTGGTGCATATTCTCAGCCTGCTCCAACGGATTTATTTTTCACTCAGCCTATTTAAACCCTCATTCTCCTTCTTCTCCATACCACTCTCTAGCACTCCAAATACTCATTGAGCCATTGTCATCCCTTGCTTCATCTTCCTCATCAAAACATTATTTTTGAGAGTTAGAAATATTTTCTTTGAGTGCTAAAAGAAGTTGTCATCCATAGAGCTTTAATACTTCAAACACTACCTTGCTCAATTGTGTGAGCTTTCATACTTGTGTTGTAAACTCAATTTTATTTGAGTGTTGTTCTTAAGACTTGTGTGACTCAAGTCTTGTTGTTGTAAGAAAGTGAGGCTTGTGTGATTCAAGTTCTCAAGTTGTACCGGTTTTTCAAGCACCCGTTGAAGCTTGAAGATTAGTAGGACTTTCGAGAGAGTCTCTCGAAGGACTGGACTAGCCACGAGGTGGTGAACCAGTATAAATCTCGGTGTTCTTCTTTCCCTTACTCTCTTTATTTATTCCTGCGATTTTATTGCTTCACACACGCGAAAAACGCACATTCTTGAAAACAACTCTATTCACCCCCCCTCTAGAGTTGCACACTTGTCTAACAGACCGTGGTCATCGGCACGGTCCACTAGGTCGACCGTCTGTAGCTCTTCTGCATCTCCATTGCCCGGCGGGCGACCGTTCCTCCAGGAACAGTCTAGATGGTCCTCCGTGGATAGTTCCTCAGCATCTTCAAAGTAATCGGTGGCTGAGTTGCTCCTTAATGCATCCTCTCTGGGTGTTTCACCTGTGGAAAATAAGAAAGGGAAAATATCTTCACAGAACACAACATCACGAGACACACTGATCTTTCCGGTGTCCGGAAAATAAACACGCCATCCCTTCTTTCCTTGTGGATAACCCAAAAATATTCCAGGAATACTTCTGGGTGCAAATTTGTCTCCATCTCTCTTCAAATTGTGGACATAACATCTGCAACCAAAGACACGAATGTGAGTCAGCGGCGGTGACCTTCCATAAAGCTTCTCATACGGTGTCACCCCCCTAGCGACGAGGGTGTCTGATTGATCAAATAGGCTGCAGTTTGTATACAATCTCCCCAAAATTCGATCGGAAGACCGGCTTGAAACCTCAGGGCACGACCCACATTCAGAATATGCCGATGCTTACGTTCCACTCTACCATTCTGTTGTGGTGTAGACACACAGGATGTCTCGTGAACAATTCCCTTTTCTTGGAAGTATTCATTCAAGCATTCAAATTCTGTCCCATTATCACTACGAACACATTTTATTTTCTTCTCAAACTGACGTTCAATCATGGCACAAAATTGTTTGAAGACACTTCCTACAGTACGCTTAGAGTCAAGCAAATACACCCATACACCACGAGAAAAATCATCCACAATAGTCAAAAACATCGTAGATCCATCAAAGCTCGGCGTCCGATAGGGACCCCACAAATCACAATGCACCATATCAAATTTATCCATAGATTGATTAAAGCTAATAGGAAAACTGGTACGAGTCTGTTTGGCACGTAAACAAATATCACAATGACTATGACTACTCTTATTCGATCCAACTATAGGAACTAAGGATAAAACATGTGAAGAAGGATGCCCTAGACGCTTATGCCAAAGATCAAAAGAATTCTCCTTCGTAGCACTGCACGCCATTCTCCTTTCCTCCTTCTTTAGATAATATAGTCCTCCTTCTTGTCTACCCACACCAATCATTGTCCTCAACCTTAGGTCCTGTAAGACACACAAATCATTTGTGAACTTTGCCTCACAATTCATATCCTTTGTCAGCTGTGACACAGAAATCAGATGACAATTCAAACTTGGAACAAACAACACATTCTGTAAAGTCATAGTCATTGTTAAGTCAACCTTTCCAGATTGAACGGATACAACCCGTTTTCCATCAGGAAAACCAATTTCACATGGGGACACTCCCACCACATCATATAACAATGATAGATCACGTGTCATATGGTTGGACGCACCAGTATCAATTATCCAACGAGGTGATACAGGAATACCTGAAAGTTTTTGAGAATTATCGGCGGAAGAGAGTGAGAGAGCATGACGAACAGCATTCCACTGTTCAGACGTCAAATCTTCAAAATTGGGCAATGGAGACGGCCCTTCGCCCTGCACTGCATGTACTTCACTTCGGCCGCCCGTGACGGTCGACCGTCCAGCACCCACGGTCGACCGTCCCGCTTCTCTTCCTGGACTGCAGAAGTTTCCTCTCCCACGGTTGTTCCCTCTTCCTCTTCCAGCCTGGTCTCGAAATATCCATCCCTCCGGGTATCCAATGAGCTTGTAGCATCCCTCAACATCATGTCCTCCTTTGCCACAGTGACAGCACACAAGCTCCTTGGCCTCCATCTTGTTCTTCACAGCAAACACAGACGCACCTGCCTCCTTGCTTTCTCCTTTGTGCATCCCATTGCGTGATATTTCATCTTGGACAAGAATATTGTATATTCTTGCCACAAGTGGTATGGTTTCTTGGGCAAGCAACTTCGACCGCAAAGTCCCATACAACTCATCATTCAATCCCATCAGAAATTGATGAGAATGTTCCTTCTCACGCATTTGCGCTAGCTTCTCCTGCAAGTTGCACGTGCAATTCCTACACGTGCAGACTGGGAATTGTTCTAAATATGCAAGATCATCCCATAGCTTCTTCATTTTCCCATAATATTCCATCACGGAAAGGTTCTTCTGTTTGCACTCTGCTAAATCCCGCTTCAACTGCTGAACCCTGGGTCCGTTAACGATAGAGAAGCGAGCCTTCAGATCACTCCACAGAGCTGATGCCTTCTCCACAAAAGAAATACTGGATCTCAAGGCTGAATCGATCGTGTTCCGAATCCAAGAGACCAACAAAGAGTGGTTTGTCCACCAATCATCAAAATCATCCGAATCAGGATTAGGCATCTCGATTGTTCCATCAACAAATCCAAACTTCTTGCATGCTCGAAGAGCCAAACGCAGAGATTTGGACCATTCATCATAATTATCCCCTTTCAGAACAACATGGGTCAAAATCATACACGGATTGTCGCTCGGGGACAAATCGTATGGAGAGATGCGTCGGCGACGCACCCCAACTTCCTCTTCTTCTCGTTCCTCGTTCTTTTTGTTGGAAATAATCTTCATGTTCACCTCCTCGGACATACCGGATGTCTGATCAAAAGTAGGGCAAAATCGCAGCAGCGATTAAGAACAACTGTCGTCGGGACGGTTGATGACCTCGACCGTTCTTCACTAACGGTCGACCGTTCCGGCGTCTGGCGGCAGCAGCAGGTGTTTGACCGATGGACGCGATGCCGGTCGATCAAGAACAGTGGCTGCGAAAATTTTAGGTTTTAGGCTCTGATACCATGAAAGAATTATTTGGGAGAAATTTCTCTCGTATTTCTGAGCATTCCAATTTACAATCAAGGCACGTATATATAGATTCTCACAAGCCGAGAATCCTCACTAAACAAGGAAAGGGAATCCCTATACAAGTAAACTACTAATACAAGGAAACTACTAATATATACGAAAATATATGCTAAATATATTCTTTGCTTTTACAGTATACACTGTAAATGTCAACCTTTTTCAATATTAAAACAAATAAATAATCTCAAATAAAAAAAATTTCGTCATGCAATGTACGGGTGTGATACTAGTATATTTTAATTATATGAGAGGTTGAAGGGTTGTATTAATTAGTTTCCGAAAAAATCGTTCATCAAATGCTCAATTGGATAAAATTTTCCTACTTTTTTACCAATGCTCACTTTCAATAATGTTAAAGGTACAATAAATGTTGTATCCCATTTGTACATCACTACTTATAACTATACATTCTTTATCTACTCCGTATTGAATAAATATTTTTATCAAGAGAAATTTATCTAAATAGGACTAAAATATAATGATTTTCCCAATATAGGACCATATGTTTTTATTTCCCAATGTAGGACCTTTGGTCATTATCAAGTAGTCATTATTTAACTAAATGTCCATCATTACTGGACATTATTCCTCATACTAGGTCATTATTAAGTCCTATTTAGGGAATAAAAAAGTTTAAGTCCTACATTAGGAAAGTCATTATGTTTTAGTCCTATTTAGTGCAAATTTCACTTTTATCAATACTTGAATGATGTAGTAGAGAGGCTTTGAAGTACACTTAGGATACATTTTTTTTGGTGTATTACAAACATTATTTACTACACCTGACATACTTTTCAAAATTAATGACTTTTCATGCCATATTGTATTAGCATGTGAAATCGAAGGATAAAGTTATTTGTACCCCAAGTTTTTGTACCCCATTTTGTACCCCGTAGGTTTGCACCAATACTTTGTGTTGGTGTAAAACTAATTTTTGTTAATTCACCAAAACTTTGTGTCGGTGTAAACCATCAAAATGTTTGTATATAACTGTGGTTGATGGATATAATCCACTAGCACCAACCCCGGTATACTGACCGGGTGGATGTGCAGGTCAGACATGTGAGATCGTGACTTCATTCGCAGAGAAGGCTGGAAGACCACCCGGGTGGATGACCTGAAGACTGCCCGGGGTGGATGGCTGGAAGACCACCCGGGGTGGATGACCTGAAGACTGCCCGGGGTGGATGGCTGGAAGACCACCCGGGTGGATGACCTGAAGACTGCCCGGGGTGGATGGCTGGAAGACCACCCGGGGTGGATGACCTGAAGACTACCCGGGGTGGATGGCTGGAAGACCACCCGGGTGGATGACCTGAAGACTACCCGGGGTGGATGGCTGGAAGACCACCCGGGTGGATGACCTGAAGCCTACCCGGGGCGGATGACCTGAAGCCTACCCGGGGTGGATGACTTGAAGACTGACCGGCCGGAAGAACAGTAACGTCGGGACGTGCTTGACATGCTTGTTTTTATTATAAATACCCCTAAAAGCCTCATTTGTGAGGCATGCTTTAATTAATCCACACGGCTTGTACTTTGTAATAGCTCCTATTATCATTAATAACAAACCGGGTTACAGGTGTTTCCACCTACAGCCCTTCCGCTTTTTGTGACTTAGTTCTCACGTTGGTTTTACACCATCAAATTGGCGCCATCCGTGGGACCTCTTTACAAAAAGAAGCCATGACGAACAACAATATGGAATTCATCATTTCCCAAGCTTCCACCCCAGCGGAGTGTGTTACCCTGATCCCGGGAGGAATCACATCATTACCTTCTCTTTTCTCCCCCATGTTCACCACCTTCACTACTCAAACAACACCGAACCAGGCCCTCCAAAACTTTGGACAATTTATGCCCATTTTCCAACAACCCGGGGGATTTACTCTTTTCATCCCTGGGATGTATCCCCATGCTTTGGCTCAAAATACATCTCTTCCTAACACGTTGGGGCATCTCCCGTCGTTTCAACCGGCCAGTACCACCCGGCCAGTCATCTCGACAAAACCACCAGGGGAGCTGGAAAGGGCAGGCCCTTCTCGGTCTAGGATGAGCCGATCCCACAAGCTCCACACTCAGGTCACACCCGACGGGGGCGTGCGCTCTGTGCGCAGCAGGGATGAAGACTCGGATATTCCCAAGGGCCAGAAAAAACTGCAGGGCAAAGCCGTCCAGCCGGAAGGTTCACGACAGTCAGCGTTCCAGAGGCTGGGACATGAGGGGCGGAACCAGAACCGACCGGCCAAGGAGCGGTTGGGGGTGAAGGTTCCCAAGCCAGGCAAATTCTATAGACTGGAAGGTGGTAGGCGACCCGGTCAGACCGGGCGCTTTGACCCTTGCCTCCGTAATGAGCCCCAACACAGCAGGGTGCCTAGAGCGGAGAACCAGCCAAAAAGCCAGCCTAGAGTGGCGATGCGCACGCATGCTAAACCACCCAGCAACCAGGTGGACAGAGCAGAAGAACGTTTGGAGAGGCTCTTGAAGAGAGTTCGTAGGGAGAAAAAGAAGAAAGTAGTGTTGAACAACCGTTTTATCATCCGCTAAGACCGGATATGTACCATGCCAATGTCCAATAAAGTGATACTTTTTCAGAAAAGATGGTATGACTGGTCAGGGAATGTTGCAGACCCATCTGCCCGGTCAGTGTTCAATCGAATTGAACATCACAAAACCACCCGGGTAGAACACCATACTTTTTCAGAAAAGATGGTAAGACTGGTCGGGGAAGGTTGCAGACCCATCTGCCAACATCACAAAACCACCCGGGTTTAACACCATACTTTTTCAGAAAAGATGGTAAGACTGGTCGGGGAAGGTTGCAGACCCATCTGCCCGGCCAGTGTTCAATCAAATTGAACTCAAAAAAAAAAAAAAGATAAAAGTATGTGACACAGGCCCGGCCTGGTACGCTGGTCTCACACCAGTCTTGCACATATTAAAAAAAAAACTGCGACCCAGTCGAACTGGTACACTGGTCTCACACCGGTCTTGTGCAATATAAATAAAAAAAATAATAAAGAAAATATGTGACCCAGTCGAACTGGTACACTGGTCTCACACCAGTATTGCACATATTTTCCAGCAAGCCTGAGCCCAATCGAATTGGGTACACCGGTTGCACATCGGTTTCAGCAAAAAAAAAAAAGCCCGGTCGGACTGGGAACATCAGGCCTACCCCGATCTTCGATATCTTTCCTTGAACAATGTTTCACCTGGACAAGGCCATGGTGAACCAACCTACCCAAGATAAATAAAAAAAGAAAACTGCCCACCCGATCAAGACTCAGACTCGGGTGAGTGACAGGGTCACGATGGATTCACTTAACTTGGCTCGGAGGACTTTTTCAAGAATATGTTCTCCCGTTGGCATGGCCGAGGCCATAAAAGGAAAGAATTGATTGTGTTGCTCACTCGGAGGACTAGAGCTCTTGTTCACCCAAGTGAAAGGAGAAATGACTCACATGATCAACTTTGAAGCATAGCCCGGGCATGCTCTATCAAAACCCACCCGGGTGGATTATTTTCTACTCGAGTATAAAGAATAGTGAGATGCATTAGACCGGGTAGATACAGCTCGGCCGTGACCAAAGAGATTGAGAGTTCGGACGACCGGGTCAAAATCCCGCACCCAGTTGCTCAAGATCCCATACAGGCATGGTACTGACCGGTCCCAAATCCAAAGATCCCAATGTCACCAATCAGTTGCTGGGACACTTGGAAGAACCAGATGCCAACCTCCCGGTCAGAAAGTGCCTCGACGCAATGACTAGGCGGCGGCGTACCAAATTTCCGGAAAAACTTTCGCGCCAACCATACCCGAGGATTCAAAAAATTCAAAATTATTCAGACACTTGATTCCCGCCCTTGATGGTGCCCACAAAGACGAGAATCGGAGGACTCCTTGATGGATATAATCCACTAGCACCAACCCCGGTATACTGACCGGGTGGATGTGCAGGTCAGACATGTGAGATCGTGACTTCATTCGCAGAGAAGGCTGGAAGACCACCCGGGTGGATGACTTGAAGACTGCCCGGGGTGGATGGCTGGAAGACCACCCGGGGTGGATGACCTGAAGACTACCCGGGGTGGATGGCTGGAAGACCACCCGGG